ACGCTGGGCGTGTGTGCGTGCATGCCCAAGATCCCCAGAGGAGAATGGAGAAGGGATTGCGGTGTGACCATCCCTCCTGGGGGGTGATTTCTCGCTTTCTGTCTCTATGTCTCTCTCTGTCTGGTGAGCGCACGTGCCCTATAGCAAAAACCTCTCCCCCGCCCAAAAAAAACAAAAAAAAAAAAAACAAAAAAAGCTCACGCCAGGCACGTGCGCGTGCGTGCCCAAGATCCCGAGAGGAGAAGGGATTGCGGCGTGGCCATCCCCCCTGGGGGTGATTTCTTGCTTTCTGTCTCTCTGTCTTTCTCTGTCTGGTAAGCGCACATGCCCTATAGCAAAAACATCTCAAAAAAATAATAATAATAATTAACACACAAAACAAAAAACCTTGAGGGGCTGCTCCTAGAGGACCTTTCCCAACCAAGTCCTGCTGCTTCCTCCTCAGGACTCCTCCCTCCTACCCCTCCTCTTCAATCCTGGCCTCAGCCTGCACCTACAACTGCCTCCAGCTCGTAGTCACCCGTGGTCCCCCCAGCCTTCCCCCTTCCGTCCTCCTGGAATGCCAAGTCCACAAAGCTGACACCTCCCTCATCCTCAGATGCCACCTCCTTCCAGAAGCCGCTCCTAAGCCACTGGTATCTCACTCCTCTGGTTTCCCCCAACACACTATTCACATCCCTACAGCCACAGCCCCTCAGGCCGTAAGGGACCTGAACAGCCCCTTTGGCCTCTGCCTGCACACCTCTTACCTAGGGAGCTCCCTCACTGTCCCAGGCACACTGCCCATCTTGGGCAAGCCCAATTACTAGAAAATCCTTCCTGTGGTTTGGCCCCAGGCCATAAGGAACCTGTTGGTGCCTCTCTGAGGTGGCCCTGCCAGAGATCTGAAGGCAGCACCCACATCCTCCCTGGGTTTCTCAAGTGAAGCATTCCTTCCCCTTCAGAGCCTTCCCAGGGACTCTAAATTGCAGTCCCTGCCCCAGACCTGTTATGCTCTGCCAGTCTTCTATCATACAGCACACAAACCGACTCTGCTGCCACTGCTGTGCGGTCTGACCTTTCCCCTCACTTTTTCTATATGGTCTACCTTTATTAATGTAGCCAAAGATCACATCAGGGATCATGTAGTACTTCCTACTAAAGAAAGACCCAAACCCATCTTACCACCATCTGTCTGGTTGAATTCTGGATTTAAGTAAAAGACCTTTCTCCTGTTTTCATTTCTTCACTTACTCATTGTTGTGCCAATCTGAGATTCTGATGGTTCCTGACTCTGATACCTCTTTTAACATCCACATCCAGGCCAGAGCCCTGTGGTACCTTTCTAGAGACATCCTCCAAATTATCTCAGATCTCCAATCAGTTCTTATTGGACACTGAATGAAATGACAAGGACACAGGATGTCAAATTCTCCCCCCCACACACACACATACACGCAATCTACTTCCCATTTCCCAACTCAGACATACTCCTGACAGGAACAGACCTAAGTAATGTGGCCAGCCTGGCATGCTGTCTTCCCGGTGTCTCGGGCTGGAAACAGTGGACACTGTACACATACCCAAAGTGGGCACCTGTTGTCTGTTGAATGATTAGGGCCCCAGTGCTCTTGGAAATCCACAACCCTCTCTGAGTGGCAGTCACGGCTCCAGAAAGGGGGCTGGAGCAGAGCTGAGGACTTGGAAGGCTTTGGTGTATGAATGGCAGCTGGGGCCCTGGGACAG